CACACACACACACACACACACACACACACACACACACACACTCTCCTATGAGAATAGGGGATAGCTTACCAAATTCGCCTTACCCCAGGCAGGGATTTTGCATACAAGAGATGCAGCTGTAGGGTTGGGGTAACCTGCTCCTCCAATATCTCCACTAGCACTAAGAGCCACAATCATATGGTAACAGGGACTTTTGGCAAAGTCTCTGTGTGTTCATTGTCAGCTCTCCTCATTCCTCTAGCATTATTATTCTTATCATTTTCAATAAATGTTGTAAACATTTTAATGTATAATTACAAAATGATAGTTTTAATGATATCGCTAAAATGGACATTGTTGTTCATCCTTCTAGCCATTGGCCTAAAGGATTCTCTCCATAGAAATAAAGAAAGTGACAAAGGAGGGGTCTGCAAATAAATCCATAATGTAATGGAAAATGATAGACTTTTATGGTTCACATTAGATCAAGCTTAGAGGTATTCTGTCTCCTCTGCTTGCTTGGGCTTCCAGCATAACCTCTGAAATCAGCCTATGGATTTGAGGTTGTGGGCAAAGATGTTTCATGCTACTAAATAAAAAAATGAATGAAAGCACAAAGAATAGTTGAGGTTTTGGAGGAATTATTGTTTTATTTTTAAGCCAAGTAAAATTAATTTGTTTCATTAAAACAAGCAAATATAAAATCTTCGTGTTGAAAATACATGAAAAGGTTTAGGCCTCTAATCTCAACCAGACATATGGCTGGTTTTACAGTTTGAAGCTCTTCTGATGAACAAACATATATAGACTTAGATATTTGAAATCTTGAGTATTTTTTTCTACATTGGGCCGTAAAGATTAAACTCAGAAGTAATTAAAGTCAGTGCAAAACAGCAAAAAATTAGGGCTTTGTTCCACGTAATCACCTGGAATTGGTTGGCAACTACTCTGCTGTGTCCCCAGTTAGCATAAGCATAGATGTCAAGATACTGTCCATGTGATGAATTGAAAAGTTTTCTTCCTTCCATTGCTCTGACCTGAGCATTTAGGCTGTCTCTGTGTCCTTGGGGTGACACTGCTCATTGGGATCAGTCCTCTCTACTCTGATGAAAGTTATCAGCTCAGGGTTGAGCAAAGCTGAGAAGACGATTTCCTGGGACCCTGATTTGCAAGCCAGGGTGCAGGTATGCTCCAGGGGAGTTTTTGGTGGTGGGGTTTCTTAGGACCACCTCCATATCTCCTCATATTTACATGGATCTTTGTTGTTTTCACAGTCTGCTACTCACATGAGGTCACTTAAACTCAGAACCATTCTGAGGAGGACTATAATATCATTACCCCTGCTTCACAGATAAAGAAAGAAGGCCAAGAGGCCCAGGTGGTGTCTGTGGAGTATGGTACTGGGACATTCAAGTCAGGCTCAGTTTGAGCCTGAAGCCTGTGTTCCTAACCATTGCGCTGTCATCATGTATTTAAAACAGCAATTGTCAAACTCTTTCTTATATAACCAAAGTCATTTATTCAAAAGGAAATGTGTACCCAGAAGGATAAGCCAATACTTGAGAAAAAAAACAGTTCCTGCTTGAAACACTTCTCCTGCTCCCTAGCCCGTGGGTCGGTGTAGGCTTATGTAGAAGGTGCCATCTGAGTAGCACTGGAAGGAAGGAGGACAGTGTGTTGGAGGCAGAGGGAGAACCATGCCGGGGCCTGATGGCAGAAGGGTGCCAATCCTGGAGGACACCTCAGAGGCTGGACTTGATGAGCAAGCACAGGAGACTGATGAGCCCTGAAGTCAGAGGGGCACTGGGGGAGCCAGACCATGGGCTGCCTTTGCTGCAGGCTGTGTTCTTCACACAGAGGCTCTGAGAGGGAGGGAAGGCTGCAGGTCCCCTATTAGGCTATGCCGTTGGGCTGAAGGCCTACGGGAAGGAGCAGAAGGAAGTAGGACATGAGTGCCGGACCTCAAGTGGCCTCTGGGACAGTCCCGAATGGGACAAGGTGCCCAGGCCTTGAGAGTGTCACATGGCTCAGTCATGGATATGGCTGTCCTTGGAAGACTGCATGACCTTGGGTGAGCCCCTCTTCAGCTGTGGCCATTCTTGAAGATGGTGACAGCTGTGGACTGTCTGCCAACAGCACTTCCAGCAGCTGGGTAATCAGTCATTCTGAAGAGGATCTGGGCAGCATGTCACAGTGTCCACCACGAGCTTTCAGGTTACTGGTCACTGAAAGAACTTTGACTTCTTTCCTCTCTGGCTACACGGAAAATCACTGGAGGGTTTTAAGTCGAATAGTAAATAATGTTATTTTGTGTAAGGACCACGGTCAGCTTCCCTGTTTTCTGTGACAAAATACCTGAGATCAATGGACTTACAGGAGGAAAGATTAATTTTGGTTCATGGTTTCAGAGATTTTAGCCTACAGTCACTTGGCTCCATCACTTTGGGCCTGAGGCCAGACATCACAGTGGAGGATGCATGGTAGGACAGAGCTGTTCACTTCGTGGTGGCTGTGAAGTAGAATGAGAGAGAGAAAAAGAGGCTGAGGTTCCAGTATCCCCTTCAGGGGTATGCCCTCAGTGACCTTCTTCCTCCAACTGGGTCCTGTCTCCAAAAGTTTTCTTTATCTCCCAACATGCCATTAAGTTATGAATTCACCCAGGGACTAACCCACCAGTGAGGTCAGAGCCCTCATGATCAATCAACTAAGACCCCACTTCTGAACACTGCTGCATTGGGGACCAAGCCTTCGACCCTGGAGCTTTGGGGGGACATGGAAGATCCAAACCATAGCAGCCACTCTGGCTGATGTTTTGAACCTGGAATGTAGGGACAGAGGACCAGCTGGGAGGCTGTGGCAGCCATCCAGAGAGTGGCAGCTGGCAACAAGGAATCTGCATGGGATGGAAAGTAGTCATTTCTAGATGCGTTTGGAAGCTGGAGCCAGCAGGGCTTCTTGCCAAGTAGAGCGTGGAGCGTGAGGGAGACGGTCAGGCTGACCGCCGTCCTTGGTCTGAGCCACTGGACATCAGTGCAGCAGCATCAGCTGGGGGTTTGTAAAGCTCCTTCAGAGAGCCAGAGAGAATAAGATGGACTGAGTCCTGAGGTTTGACACAGTAAGAGATCAGACAGGGGGATTTGGGGATTTTGTTTTGTTGTATTTTGAGATTCTGCCCCCTCCACAGTTGAGTTAGTATCCATGGGCTCTGGAAAACATGAATTTTATTTATTTGTTTGTTTGTTTATTTATACATACCAGGGATTGAATCCATGCTGGTTTTAGAAGTGGCCAGCAGAGTTCCAGGGTTCCTCAGAGTTGCTCAGAGTCATTGGGGCCTGAGTACTGGGGATGCCTCAGCCAGAACAAAATAAAAATTGTCAAATATGTGCATTTTTAAAACAAATTAGAAGGCAATGATTGGAAACAAAATTGTGAATGGAGTAGGTAAATACAGGAGAAAAACGGCTGTTAGAATATCACTAAGTAGTGTTTTTAGGTAGAACAGATAAAATGTCCTCTTAAAGACAGCATGAGGACTCAACCAGCCATAGGGTCCTTTGAGTTCCTCTTTCTCTGTGTGTCAGTCTGTCAAATGTGACATTCCCATCCATTGTTTCATTCTGTTTATAGCTCTCGCCTGCCCATGTGGACACCCACCCCCACACCATGCCTCCTTGCTTACTTCATTCTGAGAACTTGTCTACTTTTCTTTTTGCTGCAGTTTCTCCATACTTTTCAAGTTAATTTTATAGTAATTCAATTTCAGAAGATAAAATTTGAATAGACCTTTTCTATCTTACAATTTCTCCTTCTTTTTTTTAACAAATAGCAATTGATTTGTTAACTTCAATCCAAAGGAGTTCTATTGTGAGCTTTTGCCCCTTTGTATCTGGCTTTTTGAGAAGTTAGATGATGTTATTAAAAACCTTGGTCTAATTCTTGCAGTAACTTTCTGGATTTTCAATAGAATATTCATACTGATAGTCAAAATTGTAATAGAGGTTAAATCAGAATACTTATTGCTCCACAGAAGACAGACCAACCTGCAGGTGATTCTCTTCAACTCAAGATGTCACACAGGTAACCAGGAGAGTTTTGTGCCCCAGATGTGTCAGCTGACTTTAGGATATTAAGTGCTGCACTACAATCTCTGTCTTAAAATTTAATGATATATCTTCTTTCATTTGAGCCAATTTTTATTGATCAGATTTTAGTATTTTTTTTTTTTTTGGTACCCAGGGGTACTTTACCACTGAACCACTTGCCCAGCCCCTTTTTATTTTTCATTTTGTGACAGGGTCTTATAAATTGCCCAGGTTGGCCTTGAACTTGTAATTCTCCTATCTCAGCCTCTTAAACTGCTGGGATTACAGAAGTCACTGTACCTGGCTCAATCAGAATTTTTAAAAAATGTCTTTTCTTTTTTCTTTTTCTTTTTTGGATAATGAAAGGGTAGCTTTGGGTAACTAACTTTCTAACAGATTTACAGTCAATAGTGTAAACACATTATTGTGAAAGAAAAAAAAAAGATGGGTAAACATAATAGAATGGAATATTCCTTTTGTTCTCTAAGGTCTCAAATTCCTGCAAGTTGGTGTTCTCTGAGAATGCCCTGTCTTTAGAGGCTATGTCTAACTGGTTTTAAGTGTTAATTTGCATATAAGCAGATAAATAATTTACAAATATCCATTAGAAGTGAAATATGTCCACTTGGCTGAATTTTGATACTAGATGAGATTTGTATGTACTATGAAAAC